CTTAATATCAGAATTTGTTTACTTTTTCTTCTTCTTTTTTCCCTTTGTATTTAAAAAATAGCAACCGATTGAGTAAAGAGAATTATTTTAAGTAAAGAAAGAAAGGTCCATGCGAATCTTAAAAAAGTTCTTCAATCAGATTAAATAAGTCTCCTACTGGTGGCTGAGTCAGACAATCTGGTATACTTCCCATACAAGCTATCATCAAAGCTACCCTCCCTAAAATGCCCTATTCTTGTTTCCATAGCACCAGACAGCTGCGACTTTGTGGCGGGAGGAGTCTTAGACAAACAGTAAATATAGTTCGTTCACCAGGAGTTGGCACTTGGCTCCGCCTTCATCACGTAGTATCGGATGATACTATTTCGCTATTTTGGAGAGAAGGATGAGAACAAGGCTNCTTCACTCAGATTAAATAAGTCTCCTACTGGTGGCTGAGTCAGCCAATCTGGTATACTTCCCATACAAGCTATCATCAAAGCTACCCTCCCTAAAATGCCCTATTCTTGTTTCCATAGCACCAGACGGCTGCGACTTTGTGGCGGTAGGAGTCTTAGACAAACAGTAAATACCTCACTAGAGAAATTTTTATGTTTTTGTTTTCTGCTGCAGGATTTTGTTGATCAGATCTTAAATATTTTCGGGGACCAGATTTCAAATCTGCAGTCGGCTTCACACAACAAGCTTCAGATTTTATGCAATTTAATAATATATTCTTCAACAATTTTTTTTAAAATTTATTTTATTTTCATTCGAGCGAATACTTACTTCTCTCGTACGTACGGTGTGGAAGGCGAAGGAGATAATACATTTTAGTTTGTGATGTAAAACGTTGAGATCATATTTTTTTTTTTAAATGTGTGTGTTATTTTCATTGTAGCATAATAGTTTATATACTTGTATCTAAACTCATACGTTTTTAATAAACTTTAACAATCACAGCTTTTAAATATTTAAATGGTCCGCTTTTTAATGGTTGTGCTTCGAGTCTCTAGTAGAGATTCTTTGAGCTTATTTTAAATTTTACCTTGTTTTGATATTTATAACTACATCCTTAATGCATGTTTTTATTTAATTACATATTTTTATTAAATGCTTGTCGAGAAAAAAAAGGATATTTTGAAGTGGAATTGAGGAAGTTAATTGCTTAAGAAAAATTGTATGATAAAAAGTCTATTAGCGACTGATAATATCATAATATAAATAACTTTAGTGATAGTTTTCTTTTTATCTCCATAGCCCAGTGGCTTTATTTTATGTTTTCATTTATTAATTGCTCATACAATTAAATGATTAACAGCATGTTATATCATACAATATACGATAATAGTCAATGCTGTATTTAATTGCTTACGTTTACTTATCATAGCAGTTTTAAATTTGCAATTTGTTTTAAATTTGTTTTCCTTCGTAATTTTTAATTATTAAATAATTGCAAATATTTGTTGCATATCATATTGAATTCTGACAAATTAAATGCTATATAATAATATAAATAAAATTTAAAATTTATTGAATTGAATGTATTGACTTAATGATAATCATTAATTATTGAATTTGAAAATTTCAACTGTACAGTTCAAATTTGTTTTTACCAAATCAAATTAAAAATTGTAGATTAATTTTGAATAATTTGTTTGATTTTTCCTGTTTACACTCCTGAGAAAGAAATCGTAAGTATCCTTCGCCATATTTCGATAAAAAAAATTTTTTTTGTATAATTATAACGTTAAATTGAATATAACAGCATATTTTGTTTATTAGATTTTTGAGTACACCTTTTAAATCTGCCTGCTAGAGGTTAATTCTCAAATCAAGATAATGTGCAAATTTAAGTTAAATAAGAATTCTATGGAAACATTACATTCTTAATTTTAAATCGTTAATAAAGTTTTTAAAAAAAATTAACATCCTACTGACCTTGTTTACTTTCTGTTGTTGATATTTAGGTTTAGATACTTTTCATGAGTTTCTGAACTACTTTAGTATTCAATAAAATTGTTTACTTATTTTAGATTTCTATTATTTCTAAATATGCCTAATCGCCACATTTTTTTTTAAAACTAAAATTAAAAAATTTAACTACCGCGAGAATATGCCATTTGGAATGGTAACACTTTTAGTAAACAAAATGGCGTCTTTAGCATACAAATATTCCATGTTTTTGTAATTGATTTGACAGGATGGAGCCACGCTAATAATCTATTAGTGACATTTCCTTATCAAACCTTTGTTAAATAAGTTTCTGACTTTTATTAGGTTCTCTTCTGTCATATGTATTTCTAAAGCAGTAAGAACAATAAATTCTACGTATAATATGACATACGATGTGTATTAATAATCGAGTTGATGGCCAAATTATATTTATTCCACTTGTCGTTTTTTATTCTAATTTTTAAGAAAACAACTCATAAGAAAATTTTTTTAAATATTACAACTCATAAAATGGCGTTTATGTTGTTAACAATGAATACAAATAATAAAAAATACAGGGTACTGCGCTAAGGATTTCAAATTATTTGCCAGTAAATTAGCCAAATAGCAAAAGTATTCGCCAAATGCAAATCGTAAAAATTTTTTATGTATATTTTTCTTACCAGTGGAAAAAGTCATTCCCCAATACTTTCGCCAAAACACAATTTTATTCGCCTAATTTACGATTTTATCACATTTGGCCATGTGGCGAATGCTTAGCGAGTGTCCTGAAAATATTAAACAATTTGCTCAAAATGCCTTCAACAATTTGCTAGCATAAAATGCCTGACTAGAGCGAGGTACATGGGTTAAACAAAAATATAGAAACACTTCTATACTAACTCTATGTAAACAATATAGAAATATTGACAGCAAATGTTTTGGAAATTTTTATATGACAAATCAGTTAACATTAAAGATTACGCATGTTACTTTCAGATATCGTGTCCTTATTACCGATGGAAGAATTTGCATCCACCCATATGTGCACAGGAAGTTTAATTCCTCTTTAATTTTTCTATGGCACTATAATTAAAAAATAGCATACTTAAAAATTCTAATATTAATACAGTATAATGTAATATAAAGTTACACTAATTTTTCTCAGCTGAACACTCACAGTTTACAACACAACAATTCATAGGCACCACGGTATGCGAGCAACCCAATTGGGTCGCAACCGTGGAGATGAGGAATTGGTAACTTAAATGTGATGAGCAACCCAGAAACGAATGGTATTACCAGGACGCCTGCATCATCACAATAACAGAGTCACAGACAAGGAAGTTGCCAGACAATCTATCGATTATACAATTTTTTCTTTGTCTCTGACTGATTCTTGTCAATCTCGTATAAGTATGTAAATAGTTGTATATATTTTCTCTATTATTTTCTATTTTATAACACCTGCGCAAATGTTAATATTATTCTGACTTCTGTAAATATCATTATATTTTTACCTAGTTCAATCTCAATTATGTTTAATTTCCTATTTATTTTATCTTAATTTCAACCGACTGGTTTAACTCTCATGACATTATTATTTTCTGCTTGGCACCCCCTAACCCCCTAATTGTACTCCCCCTTCGCACATTCCTCCATTATATGACTCAAAAATCCAACACATCAGTCAATGCCACTTCACGGCAGCGCCGTGAGATTTGAGCTATGCTCTAATGTTCTAATAATATAAAGTTACAATTTTCTTGTCTTTATCTCACAAATCATGATAATTACACTGAATAATTAATCAAATCAATATAAAAAGAGCCACTTCAAGGCCTTGAAAAATCATAAAACTATGACTACTTTGCATAAAGTTGTAAATGTTCTACAATATAGCTGAANGAGCACGTAGTGAGCATCATATGTCTAATCGGGTGAATTCTCACCGAATTATCAAAAAAAACTCACAAAATTATCTTCATCGAAGCCGATGCTTTACATCCGGCGTTCAGTACTATTTCATATTGTTTTACAACACATGGTTTTAGCCCTCTGGTGGGAAAGACTTTAAAACAAAACTTACAACAGTTACTTTTCTCAACAACTGAAATTTAGAATAGTGTGATTAAGAAAAATATGTGAACTGTTTGCAATTTCAAATTAATATTGAAATGCGCAGGTTTAGAATTTTCTACAGTGAAAAGTTTTCGGAACTTCAGTGTTCAAAAAAGTATACAAAAGCTAGACGTTAAGAACGTATCCAATGAGTGAGCAAAGTGAGCATCGGATTGCTAAGCAATCCGAAATGAACTGCGAAAGCAGTTCCGGTGGTTGGCGAGCGCCAGAGAGCAGAGGGCGAAGGCTCCTAGTAAAGTTATAATTTTCTTGTCTTTATTTCACAAATCATGATAATTACACTGAATAATTAATCAAATCAATTCAAAAAGGCCACTTCAAGGCCTTGAAAAATCATAAAACTATGACTACTTTGCAGAAAGTTGTACAAGTTCTACAATATAGCTGAAATGGGAGCTAATCAAGCTTTTATCCCCGCTATTACATTATTTATATTTAGAATAGGCATTTTAAGGTTGTCTGATTTCCACTCTCTCCACATTTTCCCCCTTTCCGTTTCCATTGTTTTCACAAATCTACAATTTTTTTCTAACAGAAGTACGTTTCAATCAGAAGTTGGCATACACGTACGTGGGGAAAAAGCAAAATTTGTTGTTGTTGTTTCTAATGCAACTTGCCACACGGGCAAGCCTGCTTGGTGAAACCGAGCAAATTTAAGGCAGAGTGTGCGTTTCTTGTTTTTCAGTGGCGCCATCTATGGACAAGAATTCGACTCCTGCCACACCATACGTCGCACCCGTTTATAGGGCGGACCCATTCATACATTCATTCATTCATCCACAGATCGTAATTTTCAAAATTTGTTGAAACCATGGTAACGGAGGGGTGGAAGGGGGAATTAGAGTGAAGTGCTCGCACTAGCGCTATTGAAAATGGTAGAAGTGAGCAAGTACTTTTCGAAGACGCACCAGCCAGTAGATTTATTTAATAATCGAGAAGACAAATTGTATGCATTACGATTTATTTCAAATCCTGAAATTAAATTTTAAAGTAAAGCTATTATCATAATCAGGCTATTACATCAAATACAGAGTGCAAACTACATTCTCCTCTTATCAAATTTTGTATATTGTAGAGATGTTTTTCAGTAACAAGCAGTACATAAATCTTTGAGCTTAGGTTTGAAAGTTGAGAATTTCCAATTATATTTTAACGTATAATACATTCAAACAGAAGGAATCTTCCTGTCAAGTTTCTAAAAATGCTCCTGTATAACACAATATTACTGCTCAATAGTTTAAATTGCATAAATTCCAGGATGGGTTTTTTTTTTCAGTTTTTTTTTTTTAGATTCATTGAGCAGTTTTCATCTTGAGAAAAAACAGAATTTCGATCAGGAAATCACGTCCACATCAATGAATATTCTTGTTTTTAACCAGACGAATTTCTGTTTGCATACAATAGTTCGCCTGAAAAAGGTATATGAAAATTAATCAAGAATGAAGTTTTAAAATCTTATTATAAATTTAACTTAATACTTGCATCTTTATTCATAGTTTCCTAATTTAAAGCTAATCAGGGCCCTCGCTAGGCATTCGCCACCTCCCCAAATGTGATAAAATCGTAAATTTGGCGAATAAAATTGTACGTTGGAGAATGATTGGAAACGAAAATATATTTAAAAAATTTTTAAGATTTACATTTGGCGAAGACTTTCAAAAATTGGGTGATACCTTTGATATTTAGCTAATTTTTTAGCTAATAATTTGAAATCCTTAGCTTGGGCCCCGAGTATTTAGGTGCAACGTTTATTTATTATTCTTTCCTAGTATTTTTTTCATTTTGTAATATTGTTTATTAATCCAAATTAAAGGCTTAAAACTAAAAACGCTATTCTTCTCTTTTAATGTATCCCAACAAAATTACATTTGTCATGCACTATTTCAATGATAAATATATTTAAAAAGTTAAATTTGAGGTGAATCCCGATGAAATTAAGTCACCTTGATGGTGTGCAGTAACTACACACGAAAAAAAATTTAAAATCAAACAATGTGAACAAACTATGTAAAAAAAACTAACAAATGCTAACGAGAAGAAACTCATTATTTGCTCCTCTAGGGCAGGGGGAAAATCAAATATATAAGGCAACTATTATGACTATTAAGGCAACTATCCATAATAACCTATAATATTTCCATGCTTAGATATCGCTACAATGCTGCATTGCATTGAAAAAAACGGAACTATTTATAATAGCCAATAATATTCCCATGCTATACAATGCTACAATACAATAATATATGCAATGCTGCATATTATTAATCATTCGCTGGAGGATAGCATCAAAATTGCCCCAGGTTTAATAGGTAACATCTTGAAATCAGGACTATCTATAAACCGGAAAATAAAAAACTTACAGTAAAATCATGCAGTATATTTTAAGAATATCTTGGTACCCAAGGTTCTTTATTTATTTCGGAAATTGGTTATATATCAAATGATTTTACAATCATATATTTTTTCTGTTTTGCAAATAAGCCGTGATAAAAGCTTATGCAGGACTGTTTCCATTTTTGGGCAAAGAACAGCGAATAAGTTTTCGTAATCAAAGACATTTCTACCATCCATAAATGTGCTAGAAACGTGATGATTTCATTGCCACTTACTTTCGGGGACAACACAGCCCAGTTTGGAATGAATTTTAATCAAACATTAAAAATATATGTATATTATATATATATTTCTGAAATTTTTTTATTACGCAGTGACTGGGGTGAACATTTTTTTAAAAATAAGCACAACTAAGGCAGTAAAAATAGTAAACTCAATTTGTTTTATAAACTCTTATTTAACTATGTTTATCCGTCCCATCTTATAGCTTGGCGTCGTTTATCAAAATTTGAAGAGGTGCTGAATTATTATTTTTAGGTATTTCTGGTTGAACATTTGACTTTTCTATACCAGGTAATACAATTTTTTAAGCCCCATACATACTTACCAAATTGAATGCTCATCTTGAGTCAGAATAGGTTAGATCTATCATATACAGTTTCTGGAGATAGAGACTAATTCTTCAGAAAAATCGCTCTTCCAAAATGTAGGATGAAAGTAAGGATTTTTACGGAATTAATATCTTATATTGGCATCGAATTTCGTACTTTTATTATAAAATTTAGTTGTAGAGTTATTATCATCTTTTTTGAAGTTATAATCCATTATCATACCTGCCAACCTTCACGCTCTTCAAAGAAGTTTTTTTTCTAGTGGTAATGAAACGCCTTTAAAAGTGTCGTTATAAAAAAAATTATTTTGTTGACATTTTACGAACACTTAAAAAGCAATGAAATAATTAGCCCGTCCTCTTTATGCATGTTTAAATATTAAGATTATGAAAATAATTTCTAAAACAAATATATTTTATTAAGAATCAAATATGAATGCAAAGATCTTGTTATTTATTAAATAGAGAAATAAAATCTTAAGGAAAATCCGGAAGAGTTGGCAGGTATGTGTAATCAAAACGTAAGATTTTAATTAGGCAACCCTATCTGGCCTATCAATTAAACCGGTGAGACAGTAGATAAGTTATAATTCAAAGCGAAACACATTTCTTGAAGTAAATAATTCATAAAGATTGTTATGGCCCTTCCACGGGAAAGCTAAAATGACACAGAACATCAAACTAATAACTTGAGCCGTGATTGCTATGGGGATAGAGCAGTCGGCTTCCAATGAGGCGAATGAGGTAGACACGACTACCTCATTTGGCTGGCATCAGCACCAGTGCTGACGTAAAAATATCCTCAGTGGTAGATGGATACTGGGTAATAATCCCCTTGCTTTCATACTAACTATGGGAGGTTACCGAGGTTTTCCTTTTCATATGACGCGAATGGGAGGGGTAGTTCCATCAAAAAATCCTCCACAAAGGCAAATTTCTCCCAATACTTGATTCAGGAGTTTCCATGTCTTCAGAATTAGTTCAAAACTTCAAGGCTACGTAGTTGAACATTAGTAGTCGCANAACTAAATAAGATGTATCCAGTTACAATACCGAAGTTTAAATAAATTATCACTGCCTTAAGATATTAATTTTAATGAAAATCTTTGCATTAAGTTATTAATTTGGGTGTTGGCATTCATATGTTTTCAAAATTAGACGAAATCTCTCGACAAGCACCAGGCAGGAGATAAGGATGTAGTTATAATTAGAGATGTTAATGGTAGCAAAAAGAAAGTACAAGCACGGCATCTTCTTCATTCAGTTCGAGAAATGCACCAAATGTTTCAAGAAGAAAATCCAGAATACAAAATTGGAAAAACTAAATTCTTTGAGCTCTGTCCAAAGCATGTCTTCCTTAGTAGCAAACTTCCAAGAAATGTTTATCTTTGTAAGTATCATGAAAAGTTCGGATTGACTAAGGAAGCCTTCAGCAAAATTCGTAATGTTCCATCTTTTGAAATGTATTTCATGTTTAGAAAAAACAGATGAGTGGAGTGTCTTATCTATTCTTAAAAGCTCCACAGATTAAAAACATTAAGATAATCTACCATTTAAAAGTACAAGAAGGCATACCAGAAGGGTTTTTTTAGTGAAAGATTTTGAAAAAGAAAATGATGAAATGATCCAAGATAAAAGCTAGGGGTTGATATATGGTTAGATAAGAGGACATGTTATATCCCGGTGTGGTAATGTCTGTTGAAGAGCAAGAATTTAAAGTCAATGTAATGGCTGCTGTAGGAATCTATTGTAAATGGCCAGAAAAAAAGAGATGAAATATTCTACCAGAAGGAAAACATGGTGAAAAGAATTGAGTCCCCTCTACTAGTTAATAACAGAAAACTTTATATGTTTGCAGTTATGTGTGAATCAAAAGTTTCTGAATTTACTTCATGTGCACTTTTCTCCCTTGCATTATACTGTTTAAATATCTTAATTTGCATTTGTACATTATTGAAATAAAAGTTTGATACAAAGTGAATTTCGTAGCGTAAGTTACCCATATAGAAAATTATATTTAATTTAACCTTTGAAATAAAATTTTAAATCTAGGCATAAGAAACATTTAAACATGTCAGAAAAATGATACATATAATCTTAATCATGTAACATTTGTATAAGAACAGAATTTTGCCTTCACGCATATTGCAAATTTTTGCTATTTCTTACTCGGTAACGTAAGTTAAAACACTAATTTTAGGTTTTTACACTGTTTAAATTGAAAAATATTAATTATTTTAATTAGATTCCTTTTGGTTTTGATTGTAATTTTAAGAAATCACTTTATTTTAATGTGTGTATTAGTATTATTCGTTTGCTTTTTAGTTCTCAGGGCAATAAAGTTTATGTGAATGTAACGTAAGTTACCGTGGAATAGCCCATATACAGTTTCTGGAGATAAAGACTAATTCTTCAGAAAAATCGCTCTCCCAAAATGTAGGATGGAAGATTTTTACGGAATTAATATATTATATTGGCAGCGAATTACGTATTTTTATTATAAAATTTAGTTGTAGAGTGATTATCATCTTTTTTAAAGTTAGTATCCATTATCATACCGGCCAACCTTCACGCTCTTCAAAGAAATTTTGATCTATTAGTAATGATATAAAGCCTATAAAGTGACATAATAAAAACATGTTTTATTGACATCTTACGAACATTTTAAAAGCAATAAAATAATTAGCTGTTCCTCTTTATGCATGTTCAAGGTGTTTAAATATTAAGATAATGAAAATAATTTTAAAATGAACATATTTCATTACGAACGAAATATGAATGTTAAAATCTTATTATCAATAAAATAGAGAAATAAAATCTTACAGAAAATCCGGAAGAGTTGGCAGGTCTGTGTAATCAAAACGTAAGATTTTAACTATAAGGCAACTCTATCTGGCCTATCAATTAAACCGGTCAGACAGTAGATAAGTTATAATTCAAAGCGAAACACGTTTCTTGAAGTAAATAAATCATAAACATTGTTAAGGCCCTTCCACGGGAAAACTAAAATGACATAGAACATCAAACTGATAGCTTGATCCGTGATTGCTATGGAGATAGAGCAGTCGCCTACCAATGAGGCGAATGCCAGCAGTGGTTGGTCGACACGAATACCGCATTCGGCTGGCATCGTCGACATTGCTGACGTAAAAATATTCTCAGAGGTAGACGGATCCTGGGTAAGAGTCCCCTTGCTATCAGACTAACTATGGAGGGTTACCGTGGTTTTCCTTTCCATATAACGCAAATGGGAGGGGTAGTTCCATCAAAAAATCATCAACTTAGGCAAATTTCTCCCAATACTTAATCCAGGAGTTCCCTTGTCTTCTGAATTAGTTCAAAATTCCAAGGCTGCGTAGTTGAACGTTAGTAGTCGTAAACCCAAATAAATTGGGTCGACTGTTCAACGACGGTTATAAAATAAACTAAAAACTAATGGCTTATGTGTTGCTTATTAACCATGGGTTTGTTTCCAATCGAAATCATTTCTTCGAGGAGCCAACAATTTTTATTTTAGGAATTCTTTTTCTTATTACAAACAGTATAGGCGTTACCTGATTTTCTTCACCTCTGGATAAAATCACCCTGAGAAACCCTGAAAGAATTAAAAATTTTAATAAGGTTAATAGTATGATTTACAATAATAGGAACTATTCTACAACTTGTTCCTAACTTACTGGTAGACCAGGTGCTCCGTCATAACCTCGTTCACCCTATAAGCAATAAAATAAAACACAACAGATGAAATCTCAATTTCCAACTGCACTTCATGATATATATATATATATATATATATATATATGTTATGANATATATAGTAAAACTCACTTATGACGAGTCCTGGTTTAGCAAGAACTCGGATTAAACGAACAAATCAAAAATGCTTGGTTAGTACAATGTTAAGTCTACTTGAGCAGACATCACTTTTAATGGGCAAATCCTGCCTTTAGCGATCAATATTTCTGTGATTTATAAAATTTCTACTTATTTCCATCTCTTCAGATTAGCTAATCCCTACTTGATAAACTTTGTTTATATTCCGAAGGCAATTCAATTGAAAGTCAGTCAGTGATAAATCCAGCTAACACGTGAAACTTTTAAATATATATATATATATATATAAAATGGGATAGCTACATAAAAAGTGCCAAACTCAATGTCTCAAAAGGCTGCTTCAGATATGCTAATTAATGAATTTTCGAATTAAATAATTAAAGAAACGAAATCAGACTCATAAACGTACTGTCTATTCGAAATCAGATGAATTTTTCACACAGTTATAGCTCATTTATCCAAAGATAATTCAATTCAAACAATAGTTTGTTGTGCTTGTTCATTATTTTATTTAATAGTCGAAAAGTTTAAAGCATTTTTATATAATTTAATGCTCAAGCAAACTTAGGTGATCCAGAACTTTTTGTTTTGTTTAAAAAGTGTTAAGATAAGGCGAAAGATTAACAATTAACAACAAGGCACTCAAATCAGGCCTCCTTTAAAAAATTAAGAACGATTAGCCTGTTCACTCTAACCTATTGAATAATAGTTTTACTTCAAAGTTAACAAACTATTCAACTTTCATTTTAATTTAAAAAGGAAATATATCATAACACTCTTACCATTATTTTATTAATTTTAATAAAATAATTTTATCAAAAACTCTGAAATAAACTTGAAGATGTTGCCAAGTGTCAAAATTAACAATCTTTTATAGTTTTTGAATTTTGAAGGTCACTCTCCGATTATTTACAATAAAAAAATATTATTCAACAAATATTTTCACATAAGAAAACCTTTTTAAAATTTCATCATATTTTACATAATTAATTTTATTAGATAATTAAAAAAGCCATAAATGTTATATTGAATTTCTTACTTTTTGTCCTGCAAATCCAGGTAAGCCACTGGCACCCTAATAAAAAGAGATCAAATTAAATAATTTTTAAAAGTAACTGCTTTGAATAACTGCTTTGATTTTTTATCTATTGGGGACTAACTTGTTCTCTTTGTTTCACTAACGGGCCGTGACTGTCTGACGCACATTCATGATATATAGCAGTGGTTACCAACTGGCGGCCCGCGAAGCCTCTTTTTACGACCCGCGAACTAAAATATATTAGTTGTCATTTTTTTACTGACAATTTTCGCAAAAATCTACATTGGTTTAAAATACTTTTCTCGTTTAAATAAAAATCTAATTTCTTCGTTTCCATGAAATTTAACTTTCCAAAGGAGCAAAAAAATTTATTTCTCAGGCTGTGCATCCAAGAAAATATATACTCAAATACAAAAATAATCCTGTATGTTGCTCTTTTTTTTCTCCCTTTTTTTGTATTTTGTGAATATAATTTAGCACATGCGTATCAGAAATTTTCTCGAAGAAATTCTTCGATTTAATTTTTTGAAACCACTGATTTTGGACGAAATTATTTACATCTGTACATTTTGAATTTAAAATGTAAATATCTATTCTCTGGTAGTTGCAGCAGACAAACCTCAATTCTCTCATTGAACATTTTGTGTGCTAATATGTAAGTTTTGATACCAACCTTTTTAAAGTTTTATATCTTAACTATTAGATATCTGTTGCACATTAATCGTTTAATACATAGTTGCACATTAAAGTTATTGAAGCAGAGATGCCAACTGCTCCGGACACGCCAAAATAGTTTAAAAAACGGTAAATAACGACAAAGTAAATTTTGCAAATACTTGACCATTTTTGCATGCTTTTTAAAAGGCATAGCATGACTTAAGTACTATAAAGTGGTGAATTATATAAGCCTACGAATTATTTATAAATAGTGTTGGATAAAAATCCACTAAATTGAATTTATTAAACCAAGAATCACAATTGATAAACTACCACTTTAAAATATATATTTGCTGTCCGGAGCAAGTTGGCATCTCTTTTGAAGCCAGAATTTTTTAATATGCAATTAAATATTTTTAAAAATCCACTTCATATTTTAGTTTGTGATTCAAAACTTTTGTTTTGTTCAACTTGATAAAAATCTGACAGAAATATTTAATGTTTTTGCAAACATAAAAGAGTCCTATATAAAGTTTTGATAAAGGTGTTTTGAATTGTGGCCCCCAGCCTCATGTAAGTTGGAAACCCCTGATGTATAGCATTATACTTGAGAAGTCCCAATTAAATTTTCAAATTATCTAAACAAAAACTCGGCATAAAATTGACTGGTACGGGAATTTTGCAGTTAGTTTTATTATTTTTAGAGACTGAATACTATTTTCGTTATTTTAAGCAAATGAAAGAAAAAAACACACAATTGAAGAAGAGGAAAAAACAATTTACACGTTGAGCGCCCTGACAGTCATCAATGTCAGTCTTAACTCGCTCCGCGTCAGTCGCCAGTGACGACGCGAGAGTGATGTCTGGAGGAGTTTCTCTGAAAGCCGCACTACATATAGTGCGGCTTTGAGGAGAACTCCTCCAGACTGAAAGTCTGGGTTTTGTCTGCTGCTATGGTAACAAGCGAGAGCACATTTCTAATGGGGGTGAAATTGAGAAAAGAAGGCGTCGATTGATTTACTCACGACGACCTACGCTAAGATTTAGACAAAACTATTCACTCCACACCCCTATTGGAAGTGACGCTTCCTCGTAACCACGGTACCCGCCACGACGTGAGACGGATGTCTGGAGGAGTTCTCCTGAAAGCCGCACTGTATACTCGTGTTGTTAAACTTGTTTACTATTTTATGAGCCTTAAGAGAAATGTTAAATTATAGTTTAATCCCATACTTCTTAACTAGTTACTGTCATAGAAACTACTGGTATTATGATAATAGGTGCAGTGGTAGTATTTCGTAATATACTGATATAGTTACCTAATATAGTTACTGTGGAAAAAGGTTTTAAAGACCTTAGAAACAGATAAGTACCAAACATTCCACGAATATCGTTAACATAAACAAAAACGAATATGTCTGTTTATTAAATGAACTAATAGACCAATGAATTTCGATTTTCTTACTTGAGCTCCCGGAATACCCTGCAGTCCTGGGGATCCAGTGTCACCCTATAAAGATAAATTGTTAATTTGAACTTGTGGTTTTGAATTTCTGAACTTACTGACAAGAAAGAATGAAGAATTATTCACCTTTGGGCCTTGAAGTCCAGGTGGTCCAGGATAACCTCGGTTTCCTTTTATGCCTGGAAAACCGGGAGGTCCATCCATCCCCTTCAAAACGAATTAAACTTATGTTCATCATGAAACTAAATTGAAGCTACGCAGATGAAAAAAACTTAACCACATGACTTATCGCTGGTTCAAAGTTAAAACGACACTTCTGCCCTTACTTCTCATGTTATTTGCATGCGAAGTGAGTGCAGAAGTGTCGTTTTAACTTTGAACCAGCTATATATCCATATCCATGTCTGAAACAATCTTTAGCTAAAAGAAAAGCTGAAGCAATAGAGTTAACAGCACTGTAGGACGAGCTAAATTTTTGTTTTATCAATCAAACAATTACTATTATATTGTGGTTGTTGAAGTCATTATGGTGTTTACGCATGTAACGTTGTTTGTGGGGAAATGTATTTCCTAATGATTTTTATTTCTAATTTTGTATGATCTTTATTGAGAGCTTTAATCAAATTTAAACATATAACCAACATGCAGTCTTAATACAAAAATACACTTTTTCCTGCTGAAACACTCGAATATGTCATCTACCTAGCGGAATATGTTTCCATGTTTTAAGCTGCCATCCATCTAATTCCTTCTCTGCTCAAATGTATGGCAATTAACTAAGATGTTTCTTTCTCTATTATACTTCCCGCATTTAGATTATTAAAAATACATTTTAAAATTTAAATGCCTCTTACTTTATGCATTATGTTTAATGTAGTTTTGAGTTCCATATAATTTCTAAACTTAATTTTTTATCCGTTTAAAAGCCACGACAGAATTGCCATTTCTAACTCTTATAACTACCCTTACAAAAAAGTAAGGTGTTTTTGAGGTTTTTTTGAGATTGACAGATGTAAAAAAAATATACATGAGGTAGAAAATGTTTTGCCACAAAAATAACCTCATTAATAAATCTCAATTTCAACCTCATAAAATCATCCTCATATATACCTCAGCAATACTTTTAGTTAAGATTGAGTGAAACTATTCACACATCAAATATACTTATTTGCTTGAAGTGTAGAAAAAATATCCTCTACACCTCAAATATAACCTCTCTAAGCTGGTTGTTCTGAAGTAGATTTGCATCAACCTAACAACAACTTCAAGTGTGACTGAAACAACTTCATACGCGTCAGAGGTTGATCTTTTAAGGTTGTTTTTGAAGTCAACTTCAAATAAACCTCAAATCAATCTTAACACCTCAAAAACACATTAAATTTTTTGTAATGGTATCTACACACTTGGAGGAGGAGTACCTTTATTTACGTCACACTAAAGCTTTACGGTGGGTTATTGGCGATGGTCTAGAATTCGTCCCTGAGGAGGATCCGAAGACATTCAGTTATAATTTGGACCCTCCAGAAAGGAAATATCTCCCTCACGTGGGCAGTTAACGTTCAAGCATTTTACAATAGAACACCTTTGCCCATAGAGGTAAAAAAAAAAATTCTTCCATAATCGAAGATATTGTTTCATTTTAAAAACACTTGTATATCCCACTTCATTTTAGCAGAATAGTCTAAATAAATAGTAAAAATGAAACTTACTCGCCATCCTTAAATAATTGATTGCTAATGATGAGTACAAATTTCGCGCTTTGCTAAGGAAATATTGTTTCCTACTTTTGATTGGGTGTGACCCTTTTTTCAATTTTCAGTATCTCATTCATTAGAAAAAAGACACAGAAGACTAAGAGAGGAGAATGGCAGTTTTGAAAGCAATTTTACACCAATTATAATAAAATTAGTTAATTTTAAAGTATATAAAAATCACTTACTGGAATTCCAGGAAGGCCAGGGGCACCATCTCTCCCCTCTTTGCCGGAAGGACCCTATATAATTAAATAAAAAAAATTCTATATCACGTCACAACTGTAATGCATAACGCGCACGAAAAAACATTTATATTTCAAACTTACACCGAGAATACGATTTTAAGCCACTTATAAGTATTCAGTTTTGATGAATCATATTGCAGACTTAGACGTATCCAATGTCATTTCGAAAGCGAGACGAGAAAGTATTCAGTATATGTGGTCCGGACACTGACAACGATTGGTTTACTCACGACAACCTACGTGAGATTTTGACAAAACTATTCACTCCACACCCCTATTCCAAGTGACCTTTCCTCGTAACCACGGTGCCCGCCACGACGTGAGACGGATGTCTGGAGGAGTTCTCCTGAAAACCGCACTGTATACTCGCGTTGTTAAACTTGTTTACTATTTTATGAGCCTTAAAAGAAATGTTAAATTACAGATTAATCCAATACTTCTTAACTAGTTGCTGTCATAGAAACTACTGGTATTATGATAATAGGTGCAGTGGTAGTATTTCGTAACATACTGATATAGTTATCTAATATAATTACTGTGGGAAAAGATTTTAATGACCTTAGAAACAGATAAGTACCAAACATTCCACGAATATCGTTAGCATAAAGAAAAACGAATTTCGATTTTCTTACTTTAGCTCCCGGAATACCCGGCAGTCCTGGGGATCCAGTGTCACCCTATAAAGATAAATTGTTAATTCGAACTTGTGGTTTTGAATTTCTGAACTTATTGACAAGAAAGAATGAAGAATTATTCACCTTTGGGCCTTGAGGTCCAGGTGATCCAGGATAACCTCGGTTTCCTTTCATGCCTGGAATACCGGGAGGTCCATCTATCCCCTTCAAAGCGAATTAAATTTATGTTCATCATGAAACTAAATTGAAGCTACGCAGATGGAAAAAAAAACTTAACTACAAGACTTATCGCTGGTTCAAAGTTAAAACGACACTTCTGTCCTTACTTCTCTTGTTATTTGCATGCGAAGTGAGTGCAGAAGTGTCGTTTTAACTTTGAGCCAGCGATATATCCATATTCATGTCCGAAACAATCTTTAGCTGAAAGAGAAGCTGAAGCAATAGAGTTAACAACACTGTAGGATGAGCTAAATTTTTGTCTTATTAATAAAACAATTACTATTATATTGTGGTTGTTGAAGTCATTATGTTGTTTACGCATGTAACGTTGTTTGTGGGGAATTGTAATTCCTAATGATTTTTATTTCTAATTTTGTATGATCTTTATTAAGAGCTTTAATCAAATTTAAACATATAACCAACATACAGTCTTAATACAAAAATACACTTTTTGCTGCTGAAACGTTCGAATATGTCATTTAGCTAGAGGAACATGTTTCCATGTTTAAAGCTGCCATCCATCTAATTCCTTCTCTGCTCAAATGTATGGTAATTAACTAAGATATTTCTTTCTCTGTTATACGTCCCGCATTTAGATTATTAAAAATACATTTTAAAATTTAAATGCCGCTTACTTTATGCATTATGTTTAATGCAGTTTTGAGTTCCATATAATTTATAAATTTAACTTTTTTTATCCGTTTAAAATCCACGACAGAATTGCCGTTTCTAACTCTTATACGAGGGTTGCTATTTATATTTCTGGCCTTGGCAACAGTAAGTGTTGCTAGGCGACCCCAGACGATTTTAATCGAAAGTTTGATATTTTTAAACATAAATTCAGCAGACGATTTACCATTATNATGCCTGGAAAACCGGGAGGTCCATCCATCCCCTTCAAAACGAATTAAACTTATGTTCATCATGAAACTAAATTGAAGCTACGCAGATGAAAAAAACTTAACTACAAGACTTATCGCTGGTTCAAAGTTAAAACGACACTTCTGCCCTTACTTCTCTTGTTATTTGCATGCGAAGTGAGTGCAGAAGTGTCGTTTTAACTTTGAGCCAGCGATATATCCATATTTATGTCCGAAACAATCTTTAGCTAAAAGAGAAGCTGAAGCAATAGAGTTAACAACACTGTAGGAAGAGCTAAATTTTTATCTTATCAATCAAACAATTACTATTATATTGTGGTTGTTGAAGTCATTATGGTGTTTACGCATGTAACGTTGTTTGTGGGGAATTGTAATTCCTAATGATTTTTATTTCTAATTTTGTATGATCTTTATTAAGAGCTTTAATCAAATTTAAACATATAACCAACATACAGTCTTAATACAAAAATACACATTTTCCTGCTGAAACGCTCGAATATGTCATCTAGCTAGAGGAACATGTTTCCATGTTTAAAGCTGCCATCCATCTAATTTCTTCTCTGCTCAAATGTATGGTAATTAACTAAGATGTTTCTTTCTCTATTATACTTCCCGCATTTAGATTATTAAAAATACATTTTAAAATTTACATGCCGCTTACTTTAAGCATTATGTTTAATGCAGTCTTGAGTTCCATATAATTTATAAACTTAATTTATTTTGTCCGCTTAAAAGCCTCGACAGAATTGCCGTTTCTAACTCTTATAACTACCCTTACAAAAAAGTAAGGTTTTTTTGAGATTGACAAATGTAAAAAAAATATGCATGTGGTAGAAAATGTTTTGCCACAAAAATAACCTCATTAATAAATCTCAATTTCAACCTCATAAATTCATCCTCATATATACCTCAGCAATACTTTTAGTTCAGATTGAGTGAAATTATTCACACATCAAATATACTTATTTGCTTGAAGTGTAGAAAAAATATTCTGTACACCTCAAATATAACCTGTCTAAGCTGGTTGCTCTAAAGTAGATTTGCAGCAACCTCAAAACAACTTCAAGTAGGAATAAAAAACACTTCATACGCTTCGGAGGTTGATCTTTTAACACGTTGAGCGCCTCGTCAGCCATCGGTGGCTGACACTGGACTTTCCTTTTAGGCCGCGTCAGCCACTGGTGGCTGACACGGAAATTACATTTAGTCCGCGTCAACCACCGGTGGCTGACACTGAAATTACATTTAGGTCTTGCACTTCTTGCTGACACTGACCTTTCACAGTGTGAATAAAACAACTTCATACGCTTCAGAGGTAAGGTTGTTTTTAAAGTCAACTTCAAATAAACCTCAAATCAATCTTAACACCTCAAAAACACCTTAAATTTTTTGTAATGGTATCGACACACTTGGAGGAGTAGTACCTTTATTTACGTCACAGTAAAACTTTACGATGGGTTATGGCGATGGTCTAGAATTCGTCCCTGAGGAGGATCCGAAGACATTCAGTTATAATTTGGACCCTCCACAGAGGAAATATCTCCCTCACATGGGCAGTTAACGTTCAAGCATTTTACAATAGAACACCTTTGACCATGTAGGTAAAAAATGTTTCAATTTTCAGTATCTAGAAGCCCAATTCATTAAAAAAAAGACACAGAAGACTAAGAGAGGAGAATGACAGTTTTGAAAGCAATTTTACACCAATTATAATACAATTAGTTAATTTCAAAGTATATAGAAATCACTTACTGGAATTCCAGGAAGTCCAGGGGCACCATCTCTCCCCTCTTTGCCGGAAGGACCCTATATAATTAAATAAAAAAAAATTCTAAATCGCGTCACAGCTGTAATGCATAACGCGCACAAAAAAACATTTATATTTCAAACTTACACCGAGAATAGGATTTTAAGACACTTATAAGTATTCAGTTTTGATGAATTATATTGCAAACTTAGATGTATCCAATGTCATCTCGAAAGCGAGACGAGAAAGTATTCAGTATATGTGGTCCGGACACTGACGACGTACCTCTGATGTCAAACATAAGTTAATCAAGAAATAGAACGTTGGATATGATTTTGTGTTGGAAAATTTTATTGAGAGGAAATCTATCTATGTATTTATAAAAAAAACACTAATTCATGTGTATGTTGATCGTTAAGAAACCCAATAAAATGTCTTTTTTCGAGTTGACAACAAAGAACTGAAATCCGGAATATCAAGTGAATGAGCAGTCATTAGCATAAACGTTTAGATGCACAGCTTGTAAAGGGAAAAAAACCCAATCACCCTTATAACTTTTGATCAGATTTTAAGATTGATCAGATGGAACAGATGATCAGATTTTCATTTAGAAAAGTATTTTGGCAATATCTCGAAGAAATATCTTACTTAAAATGTGCATAACAGTTAACTGTAACCTTGATAGGATATGCTTATTTAACCATAAAACGTATTTTTTCTGAGGAAACAATACCTTTTTTCATACAGTTTTGATTTTTTTTTACTTCTAAAATAGAAGGAGTAGGCACAGTTTTGAAAAGTTGGCTTTTATAGCTAAACCGCTATAAAGGTTCTAAGTTTTATTACTCTAATGTTGTTTTAACCTAACGAATTTATCTTCATATCTTTTGAATGGTTCGTTATATTAACGCTACTCATTCACAGAAAGTTGTAAATCCTCTGCCAAAAGACATGTATTAAAGATGGTAGATAAAATAAATAAATTTTAATAATTTATTTGTTAATAATGTACACATTTAGTTTCTATATATTTTAAATATTCAGATATTTTAAATCTAAAAAGTACCGAATCCACGGCACCGAGCCCACTGATGACAAAGCACTGCGCAAGCAAGATACTGGCCAATGGCATCACCCCCTACGTAAGAAAGCATCCCCACGGTTTGCGAGGACTATTTCAGATGTGAAACAACTTCGCGCATGACCCGAAATTCTATTACAAAAATATGTGAAAGAAATTTATCTATGTCTTATCTGAGATAAATCTTGGGGTCTAATATCAAATTTATGGGACGATTCAGTAGACCTAGTGAAATGTGGCCCATAACCCAGTAAAAAATCTCGCTGGCTATTGCTCAGATGTGCGTAGATAATTATAATTTCCAGTTTTTTTTTTTTTAAACAAAATTGGGGTTCACTTAATAGCTACAATTATATTCAATAAATAAGTAAATAAATAAGTAATACTACTTACCGGAGGTCCTGGTATTCCTCTCTCCCCTCGGGCACCTTGAAGTCCATTGAATACGACGAAATAAAATGGAATCTTTGTTGAATTATTTAATGAGGGCCCAGAAGGATTTGCTGATCCGCTTGGACCTACCGAATCCTACAAAAAAAATTTAATTTTGAACTTTTTTTTAAAAAAAAAAAAATTTTTGTTTTTAAGTTTTTTGAATAAACACTAATTTTTTTTTGTTAATGTTTCACTTTAAGTTTATTTCATCATATAATTTTACAAGTATAAAAAATGCTTAGTAGTAAAGTAAAAAGAGAGGATATATATATATATATATATATATAAATAAATGAATACAAGAAAACCGAAGAAAGTTAAGAAAAACAATAAGTTTCATTTATTGCGCTTAAGCTGCAAGTAAAAAGAACTCATTAGATAAGTTCAAAATGTAGAATAAAACAAAGAAAAATTATAGACATATGAAAAAGTAAAAAAAAAGGGGGGGAATAATAAGTAAAAAAATAACAAACAACAGTTTAAAAAAAAAGAAGAAAAAAAATTAAATTTTATTTAAAAAACCGGGAAAAAAAGATATAATTTTTTTG